AAACAATCCTAGACCCCAAAACCCACATCCGAAAGAGGAAACAATCCTAGGCCCCCAAAAACCCACATCCGAAAGAGGAAACAATGAGGTTAAGTAGGGTTTATATTCCTTGTATCCCAAAAAGGACACCAACCATATACTCTCACCAATATTAAAAACGAACCCTAACTGCACTCACCAATAACCTTAAGACATACTTGGAGGTTCATGGTAATTAGTAACAAACTACAACTGTACTTAATTACAATCCACTTATAATCCCCTTAAGTGCCCTAATGTGGCTACCAGTACAGTTAGAAGTACAGTAAACCCTAAACCCTAAACCCTTTAAGTTGAGTTAATAAGTACTATGAACCTCCAAGTACCCTGTTTCCCGTGCCTCTTGCAGCTTCCTGATCGCTTCCTCCACCTCCTTCAGCTTCGTCCCAGAGTCCTCCGGGTCGAGGCTTCTAGGAACCCTAAACCCCTAAACCCCTAAACCCCTAAACCCCTAAACCCCTAAACCCCTAAACCCCTAAACCCTAAACCCTAAACCCTAAACCCTAAACCCTATACCCTAAACCCCTTCAAGGCCAGGGTTTTGAGGGTTCAGGGCTTAAGGCTTAGGGCTTAGGGGTGTCGCTTGCGAGGGCTTTCGAGTTTATACCGCAGCCTACCCGAAGCGCTGTCAGGTAGGAGGGTTTCTGAGGTTTGCGCCTGGGCTTAAGGTCAGGCAAAGGTGGGCTTTGAGGTCTTGGGTTGAAAAGTTCTAACCCCAAAACGCGGTTTAGGGTTTAGGTGACAACAGAAAGACCCTAAACCCTAAACCCTAAACCCTAATCCCTAAACCCTAAACCCTAAACCCTAAACCCCTTCAGGGGAGCGCTCCTTGATGATGCTCTCCACGACCACCTTCTCGGAGCGCTCACCTGGGCCGGTCTAGGCTTCAGGCCTTTGGGGTTTAAGGGTTTAGGGTTTAGGGTTTAGGGTTTAGGGTTTAGGGTTTAGGGTTTAGGGTTTAGGGTTTAGGGGGGTTTAGGGTTAGGGTTTAGGGCTGTAGGATGTAAGGCTTTAGGGTTCAGGCCTTTGGGGTTTAGGGCTTTAGGCTTTAGGGCTGTAGGATGCAGGGCGTTACGGTTTAGGTCTTGGGGGTTCAGGGTTTAGGGCTGTTCGGTGTCGGGTGGGAGGCAACTAGGGATCCCCAAACTCGCCCTAAGCCCGCAAGCCCACAAAACCTTCTGAGCGGCCCCACACTTAGATGACCTGGATCCCTGAACACCAATACCCCAAACCCCTAATCCCCCTTCCCCCACAAAAAAAACCCCCCAATAATTCGGCAATCCTCTAGATACGTTGACAAAGCGAATACCAAAATGCAAAGCCCTCAGTAATAAACAAGCATGCGCAGTCATACATATACATATACATATACATATATACTTACATTTATATTCACACATGCATGCAGGCATGCATGCATGTATATGCATGTGTATGGGTATATGTTTGTGTAGTTTATGTAAATGTACATGTACATGTACATGAATTTGAATATGTATACGTATATGTATATGCGTATATACATAACCACATAATGCATGAACATGCAGCCCTTACAGCCCACAGAGTTGGAGGCGCCAAGTACCAAGGGCCGGGCGCATGCCGCCCACGGTCTTGTCGAGAGACTCCTGGGGCTTTTGTTTTTGTTCATGGGTTGAGGAAAATTGTGGGTTTAGGGCTTAGGACTTGAGGGGTTTCAGGAGTTTTTGCGGTTAAGGGGTTGAAGACAATTCTGGGTTCAGGGTTTAGGGTTTAAGGAGTTTTAGAACTTTATGGCATTGGGGGCTTAGGGGTTGGTGGTTTAGGAAGGCTTGAGGTGTTTTGCGAACTTTTGGCCTTAGGGCTTAGGGGTTTGGAAGTCAAGAGCGGGATTTGAGAGGTTAGGGCTTAACAGGGTTTAGGGGAGTTCAGAAATTAGTGGCTCAGGGATCTAGGTGAGGTTTGCGGGCGCTTACAGGAACCTAGGGTTTAGGGCTTTGGGGGTTTAGTAGGATTTTCAGGGATTTAAGAGTTTATGGTTTAGGGCTTGGAATTTACGGCTTGGGACCGGGGATTGCCTAGGCGCCGGATTCCTTGTGTGGTTTTGGGTTTTCGGGACTTTAGGATTTTAGGATATGAGGGTTTTAGAGTTCGGGCTTTGGATGTCTTGTGTTTAGTGCTTGAGGGCTTTTAGGAATGCAGGGTTGTAGGCTTTGGCTTTCTTGGGTTCAGGGATTTTGGGGTTTTGGGGCGACACCGAAGCCGCTGAACACCCCTACAGGCACGTCTCCTGGATTTCGTCCAGCTTCGGTCTCAGCTTCTCCACCTCCTGCAAGCGGAAGCCCCTTCCTCCTAAAAACCCTAAACTCCCCAAATGGCCTAATCCCTTGTACAATTATCCCTTGTCCCTTGTCAGTCCTTACTTGGGATTATAATCGGGCGTACTAGAATCCCTATTAAGGATTGTTAGTATAAGGGGGAACATCCCAACTTAAACCCTCTAAACCCCTAAACAACCCTAAACTCAAAGGCAACTTAAACCCTCTAAACCCCTAAACAACCCTAAACTCAAAAGCAACCGCGAACTCCCCGAAACCCCAAAAGGCCCCATTATGGCCCTTAAAGAAACTCCACAAAGCCACATAAACCAATCCCACAAACGGCCGCTTGAGGGCTAAGGGGGCGTGAGGTGGCTGGGCTGAGGGTTTGGCTTTCTGCTTAGGATCTAGAGTTTCAGCTTGGGGGTTTAGGGTTTAGGGTTTAGGGTTTAGGGTTTAGGGTTTAGGGTTTAGGGGTTTAGGGTTTAGGGTTTAGGGTTTAGGGTTTAGGGTTTAGGGTTTAGGGTTTAGGGTTTAGGGTTTAGGGTTTAGGGTTTAGGGGGTTTTGGGTTTTGGGTTTAGGGTTTAGGGTTTAGGGTTTAGGGTTAGGGTTCAGGGTTTAGGGTACTTAGGGTACACAGAGGAAGAGAATGCACCGGGTGGGTTGCAGCCCAAAGAACTTCAGAACCCTAAACCCGCAACCCTAGGGTTTAGGTTTTAGGGCTTTAGGGGGCTTAGGGTTTCGGGTAGACCCCAAAGCCCGAAATGCGCACAAAACCCCGCCCACAAACCCCAAGCGCCTAAACCTTAAACCGAAAACCCAACTAAAAAATCCTGAAGCTAAAGCCCAAAAGGGGCTTGGGGGGCTGGGGCTAGGGCTCAGCGTTAAATTTTGGGGTTTCGGTAGAGCTCAAGAGCTTACGGCTTCGAGATGTTAAGGCCCTAAACCCTAAACCCCGAAATCTACAAATTTCGGGGTTTTAAGGCAAATACAAGGGTCGACGCGTACCCTAAACCCTACATCCTAGATTTCGAGGCTTTAAGGCTTAGAATTTGAGGGTCGACTTGGAGAGGGCACGGTCCCCAACCTTGGAGGCGTTGGCGTTGACCCGCGACTGCATGTCCAGGAAGCGCATCGCCTGAGAATCGCGACCGGCCTCCCCGAAACTTCGGGGTTTCTGAGGAACCGAACCCCCTGCAAAAAAAGGGAATAATATAAGGGTTTCTGGGCTTTCCGGGCATTCTGAATTGAGATATTGAGTTCAGAGCTTCAAAGTTTAGAGTGTACGTAGGGTCTCTTGGCTAGTTTGGGTTCCCAGCAGCAGTGCAAGAATCTAAGAACATTCTCCCCAACAGTCCAAACCCTAAAGCTCTGAACCGCGCAGCCCTGAACTTTAAAGCCAAACCCTTCCCAAACCCTAAACCCCAAGCTCCCAACCCCAAACCCCCTCTTCGCCCCGAAATCTGGGGCTCCCAATTCCCAACAGAATCACTGATGCTTCCTCTCAGAAGCACTCCAAGGGACTGGTTTTGGGACTTTTGGGCTGCTTGGTGCGTTTGGACTTGTTTGTGGGTTTGGGGTTCTTGGTCTTTTGAGGTTTTCTGGTTTCAGGCTTAGCCATCACGAAATATCCGGCACCCAAAACTCGAAATCCACTGAAGGGCGGCCCTCTCAGGCTTGCGCAGACTTCACAGAAGCCTGGACCTCGGCGGCCGCCTGCTCCGCGGCCTGCACGGGTTTAGGGTGGGAGAATGGAAAGCTAAAGGTTGTTGCAAATGGGTTCCAATTTCCTTACAAGGTGTCTTCCTTAATTCAACTATTCTGGAAGATTTGGGTACACCCCCAAAAGCCCCTAAAGTGTAAACTCTGCTAGGGACCCTTCGAAACCCTTAACCCTGCTCAACCTCTGAGCACTCGACCCTGTGGCCGCGGCCCTATATTGAAGCACACACCCTAGACCAGAACCGTCGGTTCTTCAACTTTATGAAGCCCCCTCAGATCTAAGCCCTAAACCCTATTCAACCATCAACTCTACTAAACCTGAAACTTTACACTTTGAACCCTAACCCTAAACCTCAAACCTTAATTCAAACCCTAAACACTCGGCTCCTAACTTCAAGGCCCCCTCACAGCCCAAACCCGAAAGCCGAAACCCTGTCAAGGCCTTAAGCGCCTTCTGCGCATGGTCCTTGCTGTCCTGAGAAAGGTTTGGAGGCTTGGTTCAGTGTTTAGGGTACAAGGCTTGGGGTTTGCGGGATCGTGGGGTTTTGGGGTTTAGGGATACTGGCTTGCGTTTTGAGGTCTGGGCGTTAAGGCTTACGTAGGGCCGAAGAGTCAGGCCTGGGTTCGAAGTTCATGGGCTCGAATCACATCGGGGGCGAATGAGCAGGTATCTCGTGTGCGTGCCGGGGCTCCGGGCCTTGGCCCGAAGACTATTTCAGACTTAGGGGATCAATAGTTCATGGGCTGGTGATAGCGGATTTAAGTTGGGCCGTCAGAGTTCACTCGATCTTTGGCCTTAGATGCCAAAGATGTCCTTCGGTTGGCCGCGGGTAAACATGCCTGTCTGTACCCAAGCGTTGCAAAAGCCTCTCATGTATGGTCTACAGAGAAGATTAGCTGTGGCATGGCGAACCATATGCGACTGAACGCACGGCTGCTCATCAGGAGTGGCCACGAGAAATCCCGTCGTCAGGCCAAAATGAACCCCAGATGTGCCTGACTTTGCTGCGTGACCACTGTGCAGTGCCGAACACCTCGTACCTGCTCTTGTTGCGACTTTGATCGGGGGTGTTGAACTCCTGTGCAATCAGCACACAGTTGTCTCTGGTATATGTTGCAGAATTGTCCAGGCGCTCCAGCGACCACACCCAATCTGCAGGACCTCTTGCACAGTGAAGGGGCACCCCGGAATAGTAGCAGCGACCCTCCTGATCACTAAGCATGTTGAGCAAATCGGACAAGTCAAGCGAAAACGTCCCGCTCCAAACTCCTCTTAGGGCACGTTGACGGGCCGAGCATAGCATACTATGCGCATGGCCTCGCAGAGTTCCTCGATAAGCTAAGTGCCACTGACTCTCGCACTCTTTGCACATACTTTGAAGACCAACTGCGCCTTTTAGTCGTGGATAAAAACGATCTCTTGCCTTCCAGCTTCCGCAGCGTGTGCACAAGAAGTTGTCGTGTTCATCAGGCCCTCGGAACATCTTCCGTACAGGCCTTGGACGTGAACACATGGTAGCAGGAAGAAGGCTATGCTGCATCTGCGGCACTTGAGATCGAACACCCACAAGGGCCTCAACCTTATGCCTTGACCATTGAGCTGACCCTTTGCTGAGATCAAGCTGGGTGCCCTTTGTGACGGTGGAGTTGAATTCTTGAGCGATCAGGCAACAGTTTCCTTTAACGTAGCCCACACTGGTGTCAATCCTCTCTAGCGATATCCTCCAATGTGAGTTCGGCCTGAACATCTCCATTGGTACACCTGAATATGCACACAAACCACGCTGTTGCACAATCAAGTCAAGCAGATAGTTGTGGTCGATGGTCGACTGTCTCGCTTTCAGCATGTCCCGGTGTCGTGCTGTGCTGGTGAGCTTGCGGACACAACCTCGCAGCGTTGATCTCCATGCATAATTGGCTTGGCTGCGATCCTTACCAAGCACCCGTTGCCGGAGAGCGGGGCCGCGCGCTTCGTCGACCAGTCGTTCCAGCTCCCTTAAATCAAGAGGACTGGGCAAGTCGTCTGTCACCAACGAGGTTGAGCTGAGATCGCTTGCAAATCCCTTCCCAACACATGAAGTCACAGCACATCGAAGTGGACCAGTCAAGCGCAAGGATCCAAAAGCCTTTTTGCATGCCGTATCCATACTCAACCCGTCAGACAGGACACATGCGAGAACCGTCTTGAGCTAGGGAGTTGTTTTGAAATAGGGTTACCTCGGAGGCAGTTCATATTTACAATAGACCCTATACCCTAAACCCTCACTCCCCAAGGTTCAGAGATTCAGGGTCTAGGGGTTCGCAGGTCTCGGGTTGTGGTTTGTGACTTAGGTCTTAGTGAGGGTTTTGGACGAGGCTGTAGAGTCCAGGAGACTTAAGCACCACAAAATACGTATTTTCTGTCTGGCGATGCTGCGAGTTGCGAATCTCGTCCAGCCCTGTCACACGTGCGCAAACCGCAAGCTAGCACCTCGACAAGATACAACCCAACCCTGACGCCTGAGCTCTAAAACCCGAGCCAGAAAATCCTGCTAAAAGAACAAAGACCTCAAAAAGCCTACTGAAAACAAAATACCAGAAGAAGAAAAGACATGAAACCTCCTCCGGACCTGTACAGGACCCCCAAAACCGTAAAAAGCCCTTGGTTAAGCTTCTTTCAACAAACTTCAACCCCGGAAGACCCCTCATCATGGAAACCCAAAGCACTAAACCCTAAACCTTTCATCCTAATCCCTATGGAAGCCCTAAACCCTACACCCTGAACCCTAACCCTAAACCCTGAAGCCTGAACTCTGAACCCTAAACTCCGAAAACCTAACACCTAACCCTGACCCCTAAACCCTAAACCCTAAACCCTAAACCCTAAACCCTAAACCCTAAACCCTAAACCCTAAACCCTAAACCCTAAACCCTAAACCCAACCTCTGAACAAGCCCCGCCCCGAAGCCTCGCCCTCCGGCACCGGCGAGTCGATGGCGGCCGAGAGCTCCTTGAGCTTCTGGAACTTCTCCTTCGGCGTTTAGGGTTTAGGGTTTGGGGTTTAGGGTTTAGGGTTTAGGGTTTAGGGTTTAGGGGTTTCGGGTTTAGGGTTTAGGGTTTAGGGTTTAGGGTTTAGGGTTTAGGGTTTGGGGTTTGGGGTTTGGGGTTTGGGGTTTAGGGCTTAGGGTTTAGGGTTTAGGGTAACTTCTCCTTCGGCGCTCGCAGGGTTTAAGGTTTAGGGTTTGTAAGGTGAGGGTTCAGAGTCTATTTAGGGTTCGGGCTTAGGGTTTAGGCTTGGGGTTCAGGGTGGAAGGTTTTGGGCTTTAAGGGGTTTAGGACATGCGGCTTGGGGCATTTTAAGCGCTTCAGTTTAGGGAATAAGGGGCAAGGTCGCAACGGCGTGTAGGTTTTAGGTCTTGAGCTGCAGCTGAAAGTTCCTGCTAGGCAGCTTCGGCGTTCCAAGCTTACAAAGTAAAAAATGTATATGTGTATATATATATATATATCTACCTATTTTTTATTTGTTCAGATTTACATACCGAATTGCAAGACTAGCAAACCACAAAAGCACATCTCTCGCTACTCTCGCTTAACCTCCCCTCAAACACCCCGAATTCTCACCCTCCACCCCATGAGTTCTCCTCCACGGCGGCCACCTTTGACAGCTGCAGGGCACTCTGGGTTTGGGGTTTTTGGGGTTTGGGGTTTGGGGTTTAGGGTTTAGGGTTTAGGGTTTAGGGTTTAGGGTTTAGGGTTTAGGGTTTAGGGTTTAGGGTTTAGGGTTTAGGGTTTAGGGGATGTTGGTTTCTAGGGTCAGGGATGCAGCGGTGGCGTGGCTTGGGGTGTGGGGTTTGGGGCTCAAGGTTTGGGTGTTTGGTGTCAAACACTACAAGGAGTCAGCATCTGTGCCTGAGCTAGGTGTTCTGCTTCCAACATGCCAGGGCACGAAACCCACAAGTCCTGAGACTCTTCATACAAACCCCAAAAACGCATGAGGCCACCTCAGCCAAAAACCCTAAACCCTAAGGCCCCAAACCCTAAACCCTAAACCCTAAACCCTAAACCCCAAACCTAAACCCCAAACCCTAACCCCTAAACCCTAAGCTTGGCGGAGGATTGGAGCTCAGGCAGTCAGCTCGGGGACTCTACGGCCTATTTAGGGCTGTGAGTATTGTGTTTAGGGCGTTTTGGACTCTTTAGGCCTCCTCAGGATTCTTTTTTATCCTCTCAACCCTAAAACCCTAGGCTCTAGTCCCCTAAACCCTAGACCCTAAACCCAAGAATGTGAATCCGGAAACCCCGAAACCCCTGAGCCCCCTAACCGCAGCAATGTCGCCTTGGACGCGCAGTCCTCGAGGCTTTTCTTGGCAGCTAGGCGGGACTCGACGGAGGCGGTGACTTTCTTGTACTTGCCTCCGGCTCCAGGGGCTTGGGGCTTGAGGTTCATGGGTAGTCATAAGTAGGGTGAAAGTATGGCAACTATACTGATAACGCTATTTAAGGGTACTTATTATCCTACTTATAGCTACCCATGAACCTTCAAGTAGGGGTGCAGGGCCTAGAGCTTAGGGTTCAGGGTCTAGGGTCTAGGGTTTAGGATTGAAGGGAGCCATGATGTAGAGATGTCTTCATTAAGGATTGAGGGTTGGAGGCCCATCGAACCGGCCATATATGTGTCCAGGGTACCCAAGAATCACAGGGTGCTGAAACCCTAAACCCTAAAGTCTCAAGCGGCCAAAGGGGTGTTGAGCAGAGGGTCTAGAGTCAACTGCTGGGTGCGTCCGAGGAGCCAATCTCGGTTGCGACCTGACAGAAAGCATGCACTGGTCGCAGGGGTGAGAGAGGTTGTCGCTGAAGATTCAAGATTCAGGGCTTAACTTTGGTTTTTCGGGTGCCCTAAGGCATATAGGTCGTAAGGACTTGTAAGGAGTTAGGACTACAATCTAGGGCCCTCAAGATTAAGAGTTTCGGAGGCGGATGGGCCCTGCATTGAGGTTGTGGTCGTCCTTTCGCCCCAAAGCAATGAAACCCTTAATCCTCTGCAGTCATTTATCCATAGAACCCCAAACCCTGACCCCAAATTTGAATCCCTAAACCCATAAACCGTCACCCACCTGAACTAGAAAAAACGCTAAGCCACAAAATCAAGGCATCCATAAGCCCCTCTTATCCCCCGAAGAAACCCAACCAACGACTAAGTCGTCGGAATCCCTCGCAACCCTGAACCTTGAACCCTGAATCTTGAAGCCTAAATGCGGAACCTAAACCCAAACCCTAGCAGGCAGGGGGGGAGGGGAGCCCTCGCTGCTGGTCAGAGGTCCAATACACCGCCATGCCTGAACTGCAACCCCTCCAATGGAACAGTATCACAATATCACGATAACGGTTTCATTCGGCAAAGAAAGTAAACGAAATGACAACAAGGACTCCCGAACACAAACCGCCTCCCCCATCCCCGCAACAAAACAAAGAAGGCACCGAGGGCGAAGCTGTTCGCAGTCTTGCCTCGTACTTGATCAGCTCGCTGCCTGGGTTGGTTATAGGGTTTAGGGGATGCGGGCTTGGACCGTCTTTTTTAGGGTTTGGGTTCCCTCATAAGCCCCTTTAAACCGAAAAGGGCGCCCTTGTTATTCCTAGGTTACTGGTCGGCATTTTTTGGTTCCTTACACTATGAGAAAGCCACGATAGCAGTGGATCGGACAATGGGCCCAATGATCTAAATCAACCCCTCACCTCAGGGACGCTGAGGGCAGCCTCAAGGCTTGGCGTTGTTTAGGGTTTAGGGTTTAGGGTTTAGGGTTTAGGGTTTAGGGTTTAGGGTTTAGTTTAGGGTTTAAGGTTTAGTTTAGGGTTTAGGGTTTAGGGTTTAGGGTTTAGGGTTTAGGGTTTAGGGTTTAGGGTTTAGGGTTTAGGGTTTAGGGTTTAGGGTTTAGGGTTTAGGGTTTAGGGTTCAGCGCATTCAAGTTGCTTGAGGGTTTAGGGCAGGGCTTGGGGATGTGCGTTTTAGGGGCCGTTTTAAGGGCTTGGGCCCAAGGTCGCTTGCACCCAAGGAGGTGCAGCGGAAGGAATTGTCGCCGTCGAGCCAGCATGGTAATGGTGTCTTGCAGAACAGCTGCTGAGGAACTTAAACGAGGTTACTGTAGTGTGGACATGCTGCAAAGATACGGTTCCCTGATTGCGGTCCCCGAATCCCTGAACCCTGAACCCTAAACGCCCTAGACATGAGGTTTCCTTTTCAACGCAACTCAGATTAAACTCTTTAGCACCCTCAACCCCATAAGCCCCCGAAACCCCCAGGCCCTGAATCTCGAAACTCCCTACCCAGGCCCTGAATCTCGAAACTCCCTAATCCTCCTAAACTCTAAACCCAAGCCACCTAAACACTACACTCTAAACCCTAAACCCTGAACCTAAGCCCTCAGCCTCCTTGAGTTCTTCGGCCAAGGAGCTGATTTCAGTGGAGGCTTCTCGGCCCTTGGCTTCTATCTGCCTGGCGCGCGGCCGCGACTTGTTCATGGCATCCTATACTACCCCCAGGGTTTAGGGTTTAGGGTTTAGGGTTAGGGGTTAAGGGTTATTAGGGGTTAGGGGTTAGGGTTTAGGGTTTAGGGTTAGGGGTTAAGGGTTATTATTAGGGGTTAGGGGTTAGGGGTTAGGGGTTAGGGGTTAGGGGTTAGGGGTTAGGGGTTAGGGGTTAGGGGTTAGGGGTTAGGGGTAGGGGTAGGGGTTAGGGTTAGGTTTAGGGGTAGGGTTAGGGGTTAGGGGTTAGGGTTAGGGTTAGGGGTTAGGGTTAGGGTTGGGTAGGCCCTCGTCCTGAACCCTGCATCCCTTTTACCTGTGGAATGCTTCTCTGCGAACCCCTTCAAAAGAGGGGGCAACCCAGACCGGGGGCCTTAAAAGTTGTGTCCTATGCAAATGGGGCTATGAGGGATGATGTCCATAGAGCAGTCCCATCATCCAATAAACCCAAAGTGCCGAAAAAACCCAAACCCCAAGTCACCCGAAGCCCTACACAACGTAAAAAGCCTAAACCCCCAAACCCGAACTCCCCGAGAACCTGATTCAATCATTATCAGTGTCTCCATTCAATGGTTTCGCCCCCAACCCCACTCCCCGGCGGAAGGGAAGCTTGAAAGTGGTTGCTTTTGGGTTTCCTATGAATACTGGG